TATATGTGTGTGACATATATGTATAGAATATAATTAATGAGTGCATAAGGCTCGAGATTTCGCTGTTGCTAAAAGTATACTAAAATACGTAATTATTAATAATAATAGAATGTAAGTTATTGTAAAACTAAATTTATAAAGCTTTGTTTGTGAGGCTAAGTGCTTTAAAATAAGGTCCCATTAATATCTTTCAAAGATGAAAGGCTTTTTTCGAAAGTCGCGATATACCTTTGGGATAAAGTTTTATACCTAAACTATTGTACGTGTGCCTTAGCAATAACGTCATATATGATATACTGTAGCGATGCAAAAATGGCCTCCTAGTTCTAAAATGCTCTTGGTAATGCAACGTATTTATATGGAGAGTTAGTTTGAAGCTTCTTTAAATTTATTTGTTTTTTATTAGCTGTATATATGCTGAGAAAAGGAGAAGAGGACGCCAACGGATAACCAGCTGAGCCGTAGAGACACAGCAGTGCCAGCAAGAAAGGACACGACAATGCGAACGCGACTACCAGGGCACACAGTAGCTGCTATGTCGCGAATGACTGCGAAGGAAAATACGTGGGAGCAGCAGCGATGGCGGTTGCTGCTCAAGCAAGAGATCACGAATAAGTCTTGAGGAGAGTCTCGAGAAAAGTATCTAAGTGCGAGCAGCGAGAGTTTCGGCGGTTTTTGCGGATTTCGTGGTAAGAGAGACAGAGAGACAGAGAGACAGAGAGAGAGAGAGAGAGAGAGAAAGAGAGAAAGAGAGAAGTAAAGAGAGAGCGAATGTGAAAATAGTGAGAGAAGAAGAGAAGTGCGTGTGGAAGTCTAGCAGTGACTGTGTTCTCCCAGGACGACAAAGTCTTCAGGTCGAGGACTACGGCCGCAGCTTGGACAAGAAAAAAAGGGTAAGAGAGAGTGACGAGAAAGAGCGAATTTGTAGGACGAATAACCCGGTCTTGGAACCTAGACGACATCACACTAGGTTGGATTTGTGGAAGTTTGACCAGGAGGTGAGGCTAGAGAGAGAGAGAGAGAGAATTGATTTGAATTGAATTTATTTTTAAAGAGCTAAGAGCAGAGCGCTCTTCGTAGCTCGGCTCAATACATATAATTTGATACAATTGTAAGGTTAATTGCTAATTAACACTGGTGTCATAGGCACCAATAACAAAGAGACTGTATTTAAAACAAATAATAAAACAACAATAAAATAAATAATATTAATTAACCATATAAATAAATAAATTAAAATAAGCCAAATAGGCAGACGAGAGAGAGAGATAGAGAGAAAGAGAGAGAGTTTTCCAGGAGTAGCGTAGACAGTGAGAAAGAGGGAGAGAGTGAGACGTAGTGCGTGAGTAGACAAGACAAGGGATACGAGAGACTATGAGGTGCAAGTACAGGAGTTCCACCAATATTCGCGTGTTTTACCAGGCATATGAGATATAAAGAAGAGAAAAGAGTGGGAGAAAGTGTACGAGTATAGAGAGCAAAAGCGAGTAGGGCAAAATAGACAGTGAAAGAAACGATCAGTAGAATACAGTAGTGTGTAAGATTGTAGACGAGGTGTAAGTATGTGTATGTTAGCATGGGTCTAGGACGAGCAGAAGCCCCTTCTGGTCCAGGATAAGCAGAACATGGTGAACGAGCGCTCACGGCTCACGTGGTGCTAGGCGGAGTCGTTGCAGTGCAGACTAGAGGATGATGCAAAGCATAGTGTCGTGTATAGAGTAAAAAGATACTGTGTAATAATGTTAAGTGATTAAATAAAGGATGAGAAGATATTTTCTAGTAATGAATTAACAATTTTCCCCATAGGACAAGATAACTCCTGCGCTAATCCCCTCTTTTCCCTAGAGAAGAAGCCCGAGGTGTAAAAGAGACAAAGGTGACGTATGAACACGAGATTTTTCAACGCTGTGTTAGCGCCCTCTTTTATTTTCAGGTAAAGAAGCAGTGTTAGGATATACATACATTAGATCTGTATCTCTCTGCAGACACCTATGCTCAGCATTAGCTGTCAATTGATTTCAGCAAATCGTAATTAATGAGTTATTTTTGAATTTATACTTTTATAGGCGCGTTATGCATAAGAAGAACTCAACGATTTCAGATTGGTCACTTTGAGAAAAAGTTTAACGGAAGTGGGTTTGGCTTGATTCTTCCCCTGTGCCTCATCCACTGCAATGTACTTTTTGTATTCTCTACACCACATAACGCCACCATATAACACTACACCAAACATTTTAAATCTTATGAACTCTATGTCTTTTACTAGCCAAGGCCCTTACCAACTCTGCTTGGAGCAGGCCCAACGTTACAAATTAAATTACTGCAGATTATGTTGTAGCTCGCAACTTGTTTTTAATGTTAATCCTTATTTACTGTTCATTTATTTATTTGGTTAAGTTAGAAGAAAAATTAATAAATAATTGCTTATTTAATTTTGTTAGATTTTTCAAAATTTTCAAAACTTTAAAAAAAATTTTTTTTGTACTGTAAAAATATCTACAATAGTTGATTTTTATTGTATTTTATTCTTTCACAATTTTCTTATTCCTGAGAAGGATTTTCTCGACGTAGTTACCAGCGGAAAAGTTCAGAAAGTGAGAGTAGTGCAAATATAAGCAGCTAAGCTGGCAACTGTTTTTTTTACGTAAATGTACTCACAAACACGCTCTTACGCATATTTGATCCTCTTCTTTGAAATTCACTTAAGAACCTACTTGTTCATCTATTAAAAAATTCACCAGGTTCATCTAAAAGTAATCCTTAATACCATAAAAATTAGCAGATTTCTACAAATCGTGTTAATGCAATTGTACGCCATTTTTACAAAAGATTTAATATTTCATTGCGATTTCTTAAATTTAAACATAGAAAAAAGAATGCAGTTAAAAGATCAGCAAATTTTTTTGTTGTTGTATTTTTCATACTTTTTCAAATGAATGTTTGATGTAAACAATAGCGGTCTAAAAAGACCTTTCTGTAATAAATGCCTTCAAAAGACATTCACTGGCATAAACTACTACTACTCTGTTGAGCAAAGTGGTACTACAGGATGGTTCCTCTTAATTTTTTAGATACAATTATGTTTTGAGTATTCAGTATGGACTAGAAATGAAAGTGTGAATGTGACGTTAAAAATGTTATTAGCGTAGGCAGTAGGAAGTTGTTTTTAAATAATCAAAAGATTCAATAAAGGCAGAGAATCTTGTACTGGCTAACCTGTATATTATTTGTATTGTATTGTGCCCTAAAATGTTGTTTATGATCGATAATATATTAAATGTAAAGCTATTAACTGAAACCATACTTAATCAACGTAGATATACTTATTTATACGATAATTACACCACCTTTGTACAAAATATTGTTCCATAAAAGGTATTTTTATACTTATAATTGTAGTGTATTTCATATAATTTCATTAAAGTATAACTTTATTCTTGAGTATCCAAGCACCTACTATCCACTGGTTTGTATAGTCTTTATTTACTGCATATCTCACGGAAATTAAAAATTTGTTGAATTTATAGGAATGTGAAAAGACATTTTCGATTTTTTAAAGTTATCAAAGCATATTCTACTTTTTTCATAAAATAGATATCAGGATTATTAAGGCCTAAAGAGACTAGATTTAATAAAGTAGTATACTTTTTTATTTCCCGGGTATTTTTGTCAAAGTTGAACATTAACTATGCTCTAAGTAGTATTGGAACTGATTTGATGACTGAATAACAGTATTATTTAATCAACATCATCATTTATTTAATATTTAATAACAGCATTATAATTTTAACAATTGTAACTACTCCCCAAAGTTACTTTCATTATAATTAAGGCATAATGATTCACTTTAAATCAAATATTATATTCCTTAGTAATGATTACCACATCATTGTTATAATGAATTGCTTGATTTTTTCAGTGACATTACTTTAATATAACATCTTACCTGCGAGCAATAAAAGGCTGTAAAGACACGAGTGATGGTGAATAGGTAAACATTGCGATGAGAAGGGTACCGGTCACAAGGACGAGAAATAATAGAGCTCGCCTTATCCAGCCACTGGACAAAGTACCCACCATTTTTGTACTCCTATAAGTAATAGAATAGAAAATTAAAATGTAGAATTTGTTCTAAAAAGATTATTATTGTTATTATTATGTAATAATAAGTGTTATAACTGCTCTTATTGACATCGTTAGTATTGAAGTAATTTTTATGATTATCATCATTATTATTGTCATTGAAACAAGATAAGCTACAGCAGTTTCCTTCTTTTCACGCAGGTTACTAAAACAGGTGTTCATAAATTATTCCAATGAGCATTCCACACAGTTAATACTTTACTATCTTGTTGATGTTTCGTAAACAACACCAAAATGAACAGTTATAAAACTTTACATACACAAAGACAGCAGTACAGAAAAAATGAAGTGTGACCAAAAATAATACTATACTTGTTGTAGAAGAGACAAAGGCTTTAAAAAAAAAAAATGAAGAGTTTAACACTTAGAAGCCTTATATGGGTATAAAAGTTATTACTGTAACAGTAACACAACTAATAAAAACAAAAACAAATACAAGAAATGGTGCACTTTGGAAAGCTTAGAAACAATCAACTCAGTTAAAAATTCATGTTAAAAAATAGTTACTAAAATCAGAAAAATAAACTGTACACTGATTTGAAACTGAAGAAGAAGCACTAAATGATAAGATTTTAACTCTGATTATAATATATACAGCGTAGAATAAACAGAAAATAAAGATTACAATTATTAAAAGAAGGTTTTTGAAACCAAAACTATGGAGCTAAATATTGTGCAAATTTTCTGACAAACTTAATAATAAATTTACAATAAAGTCAAAATATAGGAACAAATTTTTTCAGGTCTTTTAAGTTTGGTACACGGGTTCAAAATCTATAAAAATGTTAATTCAGTAGCACGGGAGTAGTGCGAGGTAAGTTGAAAAACAGATAAAACTATGATGAGTGTGGAATTATTTTATTCAGTTTTTCATACTCAAATTTTTAAATAGCAAAAATCTTTCGTTTTGTCAGTATGCATCATGTGTATTTTTCAATACAGCTTCTTCATTCTGTCGTACAGGTTTTCGAAGCAATATGGGTCATAAGGTTATGAGAATAACGGAAATAAGTCATGTGTTACGTAGGAAAAATATTGGTAAGGAGGTGCGTTACGAGAATGACCAACACTTGTTATTTTGAAGACCTTTATTCGAATTACCGTGATCACAGGCAAAATAGCGCGTGTATTTTTCCCGAAGGCTAGTCATGTATGTTCTCCCTCAAAAGACTATTTTCTTGCTTGCTTTTCTCATCTCTTGGCCCTAGTGCCCCTTGTTACGAGATTTCAGGAGAAGGAGCGTAGAGTCTCACCTATACAATCGTACGTTACACGTCGAAAGCCACGATGTCGTTGTCCTCAACGACGCTGACTGTTCACTTTGTATAGAGTCTGTGTGTTTGTTTGCAATCTTATGTATGTATGTATACTGTTCTGTGTCTTGTTGTTAATGTTGCCAATCAAGTTCAGTTACTTACACCCATTCTTTCATTTAGTTATAGGGAACTACTATTCTCTTCACATTAATATTTTTACTCTTCCAATTATTCAGTTTCCTCTCATCGTGTGTCGAGTGTATAACAATATTGTTTGTGTATGCGCTTGCCTTGCATTACAATTATATACAAAAGCATTAGAGTCACATGCCTACAATTATATATAAAATTGAAGCGAGATGGAAATTCGCTTAATACTACTTTACATTAGGTGTTGTTTTACATTGTAGATTCTATTTTAACTCTTGCAAACGCTTATTTACAAAAACAAAAAATTCCGTACAAACTTCTTGTCATTAGGATTCAAGTGAAAAAAGAATATTTTTGGGTCTCGTCCTACGGACTGCGCCCCCTGATACAGTCAAGCAACTCTTGGTGCTCACTTTCGTCTGCTTATTTTTATCATTAGTATCATTATTATTGTAGCTATAACTACCTTTTTAATTTAATTTTTTTTCTTTTTTTTTTTTAATTTAAAACAAATCTCCCGATGTTACATATTTTCCAAAACAGAAAATTCTTCTTTAGTGACGTCCTTCGGACTGCACCCTCTAATACAGTAGAGTGACTCCCAGCGCTCATACTCGTTGTCTCAAGAATTTTAATCCTGTGTCATGGCCAACAGCAGTTTTAGTATTTGTCTAGAGGGTTGCAGTCACCTTTCAGCTCCACTTTCTGCTGTCGGCGCAGTTCGGATTACTGCGAATTACCGTGCTTCCTTTTGAGCTCTTTATTTAACTGTGAACATTATAAAACATATCAGTAGTAAGGCCCCCGGATGGAGAAAGCACATATACATCAGAAAGAGAAGTCCTATTTCCGCGATTATCAGTCCTGCCATAAGGTTAACAAAAAATTAAAATCTTGCAATTCCTTCTCGTGTCTGTTAACTTTCTGCGAGCCCACGAGCCTTTTTAATAATCTCTCCTAAGGATGTCTCATCCACTAGTGGGTTGGTCCTAGAGTGCCCTTGTTTATTAATTAAATTAAGCTCCCTTTGTACTAATAGTGCGTTAACACCATCTGAAACCCCCTCATCTTCCAATTTTCCATCTAGTTCTTCTAATATTTCATTGATGTTCATGTTTGCCATCCCAAAGTAGGTGGTATTTAGCTTTTTATCTATATTTAACGGAGCTGCTATGCGCACTTTCGTGTTATGAGCGGCACAGCCTGTATTAAGTCGTGAATGCCCGTGCTGTTAAGTGAAATTGTTCTATGGTTTGAGCCATAGCACTCTATAAACAGTGGCTCCTCTTGTACTGTTATAAAAGCTCAAAGGCTTAGTGCATGGAATTGGGCCCAGTACGTTCTTGCAGTTCAACAATTTTAACTGAACATTCTTTCCAATCGCTTATGCTGTACTGTACTATAAACCGTGCTTCACACGAACGATGTTGCCTTATCTCTCTTATCGGTTCCGTATGATCGCAGATAAATAACTCGCGTGATTTCTTACAGCTGAATACTTCGAGAACCGTTATTTTTATGTATGTGTTAATCTTCTTGTTTATGGCTATGTATCCGTGTTCTGGCTATATATAGGCCTAAGTATTTGAGCTGTTTTGGCCTTCCTGTTTTATCGGTAGGGGTAAAATTCTGTATAAAATGGCGCAGTCTTTATCTTAGTCTGGACCTCTGCGTAGCTTTAGGTGCTAGTAGTTCATTTTTTTCCACAATTGCCTGCATGTCGCTTCTAATTTGGATTCTAGCAACGGGTGGAACGATAAGTCTATTTTTTGTACGATTTTCCAATTCGTGCTGGTTGTAGCCAGTGGACAAATCTTTTCCGCGCTTAATCTTGAGTTATTTTGTATTTGCGTTATCGATCATTGTAGCTGTTCTGGTACCTCCAATTGTGCTCTGCAATACATAAAGCTGGTAGCTATACCTAGCGCACCCTAGTCTCTGCCTACAGGCCCGCGCTTTAGTCTCTGTGGTAAATACTTGTCCTAACACTATTTATATCCCATAGATAGCTATTTATTTAATTATATAACCGTATGTATCTTATCCTTTCTCTTATATATCCCCTTTATTCGGTTAGCGTTGAGCTGCAAGTTTGACTCTCTTCTCACATATAAAGTATGTTATAATGAACGTATCTTTTAATTTTCTTGCTTTCCTTCTTGTACAAATATTATTGCCTACTTATTATTTTTATTTATCTAAGTACTTTTTGTACAGTTTAAAATTTTCTATCGCAGATGTTTTTTTTTTTTGTCATTACTTATTTTACATTGGCTCTACGTGGGCGTATGAGTCGGTTACTAAGTATGTGGTCGGTTACTAAGTATGTGGTCGGTTATAATATTGTGCACCCCATCTTGCCTACGAAGTCATTTAACATATTCGAGAAGACTGTATAGTCAGATAGTTTAACGATCAGTTATCTTACATTTGATTTGTATTTTGATAGCGACGAGCTTGGATGTACGAATCAAAAAAAGGAATCATTTTACAGCAATGTATTCCTTATTTACGTTTGTACCTATGTCGTTCATTTTTTTAGGGTTTTTATCCTCACATTTTCTGATACTTTGTTTTTCTGCTACTCCTTATTTCTTTTCTCTAACATGATAAGGTTGAGAATAGGGATTATATGGATATTTCTTGTTTGCTTTTACTCTCAATGCCACGCCATAGACGCATTTGCTGATTTTGTTCGTTGATATCTCGTTATTTTTCCCCTCAACAACAAAACTTCTATGTTCATCTTTTTTTTTCTTCTGGTCTCTAAAGAAAGTGCGCTTACTAAGGTGCTAGCGCCGTTGTCTAAATTTCTGAAGCTAAGCTTCAACACTGCTCATGTGACAACATGATTTTTTGCACCATGAGACTCTTTGTGTGCTGTCCTCATGAACGCAATTCTGCAGGAGCAGCCCACGTGCGCTATTGCACAATTTCATTGTGTAGGTAGTGGCTTTACTGATTACAAGTACCCTTGCTTTTTTTGTAGGCTTACTGGTTGTTGTAGATTTCTTTGCCTTTTTTCCCGTAACGACGCCACTGTTTGAACGAAGGTGGGCTGGTAACGTTGTATTGTTAACCCAGAGGTGTTCAAGGATCCCACAACGGCTTTCCAGCTGTCCTTTGACAGCAAAGTCTTGAGAAAACACTACTACACGCTAAGTGTGATTGATTATTCTTTTTAAGGTGGACGGTCCGATGAACGGGCTGTTCGTTATTTTAGACATGACAGTCAATTCTATATCTCGTAACGATTATGCGTGAAGTTTCAGATGTTGTGGTTATCAGCACATCATGATGGTAGGAGTGGGATTGTTCCTGATGGTGAACGACAGAAGGAAGGAAGAAAAGAAGGTTTAATCTCTCATACTCGACGTGGGCTTGTGGGCCTTTTCAAAAAATAATTTTATTTTCCCTGAATTTGCTTTATTTATTTTTCATCATTCCTCCATGCTCATCTCTACTTAACAATGATTGCTAAAAAATTTTTTTTTCACAATAATGAAGTCAATTGGGTATTCAAGGATAAAATTATTTTAAT